AAGTAGAGGGCCTTCATTCGCATCGGCACAATTGACACATGCAGGTGGCAAGCTCGCACTGCCTGCAAAAATGCAGCTTGCCTTTGGATAGTCTGCTGGCATATCTGCTTTGGAGTGCCTCATATGTTTCTTTGACTCAGACAGTTATGTGTCGGTATTTGAAAGATGCTAAACAGCAACAATTTCCCCCGTGGTTATTGTGGTATTTGAGTGACAGCTGATGGTTCAGCAGGGTGTGGTTTCACCACATTCGGCCACAGCAAATGAGGACGGAGAGAACGGTTTCATTTTTCCTGATTTTAAATTATCGTTTAATATACTTTACGCCAACAATCTTCTCTGTGGTATGTCAAATTTTCGAGACTTTTATTTTCACTTCATAGGGACTTCAATGTATGTTAGAGTGTAGTCCGTCTTTGCAATTTTCAATTTGTAATCCACTTTCAAAATGTCATTTAAAACAGGTTGTGTTTCTTCGAAATGGAAAAAAAAAGATATATAGTGTACTTTGTAAAATCAAGTCTAGGAAAGTCAGTTGTTTGCAGGTGCACAGCGTTGTTTTTGCATCCTTCACTTTTCCCAGGGTTTGCCTCATCCTCTTTGGGATTTCCCACGCGGGGCAAATGGGATTGACTTGCACACTGTCACCAAACACAAGCCACTTAGAATTTGGGTCAGTGCAGACAACATTAATTGAAGCCACAATGAGGCTTCAATGGCAATCTCGAGTGCACCCGTGCATGCGCTAATCTGCCAGCGACTGGAGTCAGGCAGAGAAACAACGTGAGCAGGGAAGAGCTTCACGGGTATATGCACTCCTCCCGTTTGGCCTCTTGTGCCTTTCCGCCTACTTGTGCAGTCACGCACACAAAGTTCGCTGTTCATGTGGCATATGCCAAGGACAGCCATGGCATACCGGTTTCCTAACAATATGTTTATTGTTGTATACAGTATGAAAGAAAATGATGCAGGCCAATAGAAAAGTGTGCTGCTAACTTTCGAAGGCCTCCTTTGGTGTTTGCAGCAAACCCATGAACTCAAAGTGAGCGTAAGTAGGTCAATATCACAGGAACCTGCCTGAAGCCTCTCTCCAAAATGATGCTGCCTCACACTCGCACTACTTCTGCAGGCTCGTGCAATTGTTAAGGGATGGTAGGATGCTTGCATTGAATTGGAGAGGAATGGACGAAGGTTTTGGTTGTCCTATGTCGCTTGATCACACCATGAATTGGCTTGCTTGACCTTTGTTTGTAACCTTTTTGGAGTTAATAGATAACATGGAAAATGGTCAATGTTGCTGTGGCTTATCGCTTTTCATTATTTTGTCAGTGTGCCACTTGAAAACACACAAGATATTTTGGGGATGAAATTGATTTGATCTATTTGTTCATGAATCTGCCTCATTACTACTAAATAGCCTCACACTAACCTACATGTTCATGACAGCAAGCATAATGAATTCTGCGAGACGTCTTCTCAGCAACCTCCCTATACAGGCAGGATATGTTTACTTTGGGAGGCTGGTGTGCATTGGTCGTGGTTGCTGGTTCAAGTCACGGTTGATCATGATCATATGTGTGATTTGTGCCTTCCGAAATATAGATTCTACAGTTTGGGGCAAAGTGCCTTGTTGTCATGTCTTACTTTTGTACCCTTCCATTGCTTGGGAGCACACCTTTTCACACCTGGAAACAATTCATTTCGAGCAGTGTTGCCCAACTGTATAGTGACAGGCAGACAATTAAAGATTCTTGTCCATCTGATGGCAAAAGGTACAAGAAACCTGCATCTCCAACTGTTGCCATTCTTAGAACAGACCCTCAGAGGGTCCTGCAAGTAGATCAAATCGCAGAGTTCAATTAATCAGGCCCACATTTCACACTCAGTCTTTTTATGTGTAAATTGATACTGGATCATCTTTATGTTCGTATATGATACTCTTTGTGTGGCCTCCTGTTTTCTATATCGCTTGTCATCTGGCAACAACAGACACACAAGTGCTCCATTTTACCAGTTTTTAGAGTTACAAGCATCGCGTAGTCGCGTGTCTTCGGGTACTTGGCGGGCTACACCCTGAACTGGTTGCCAGCTAATTGTAGGGCACACGTAGACAAACAACCATTCGCGCTCATAATCACACCTATGGACAATTTTTAGACTGTTCCATTAACCTAGTATTCATGTTTTTGGAATGTGGGAGGAAACCGGAGTATCCGGGGAAAACCCACACAGGCACGGGGGAAAACATGTAAACTCCACACAGGAATGCCAGGGCTACGTTTGAACCCATGACCTCTGGACTGTGAGGCAGACATACTAACCAGTCGACCACCATGCCGTCTTGACTGATTTTGCTCTTCTGAAATGCCTTGTAGTTTAATTTGATTTCAATTTCAAATGAAATAAATGTGTTTTGCCTGATCACTCATGTATTATTCGAAACAGTCTTACAAATTGTGCCAGGGTATGTCAATTTATGCATGCATTTACAGCATGACTTGGCTCAATAGAGGTTGGAAAACACTGTCTATTAATTGTTGGGTAGATTTTTAGCTTCTTCTGGACCCTCATTTAAATTCCCAGTTAAAAATAACTAAAAAAAAAACCCTGCTGGCAATCTCCACTTCAGTCCACGTGGATTGAAAACATCCGTTTAAGCCTCAAGTGGATTTTTTTTATTTATTTATTTATTTTTTGCTGGTCCTTACGTTGCTATCTATGTCAGAGGAAATCCGTTTGGTTTGAAAACGCAGTCACGTTCCAGCGGCAAACACGCCCTAATCGGATATTTGCCCTGCAAGGATGACACGGGGACAGATGCAGCACAGATAGCAAGAGACAACATCTCCTCAGCCTCCTCCGCACGAGGGGGTGGGGCTAGCGACTGATATTCAACACGCGTAGAAGGCACATGAGGCGGCAAAACGTGACGAATGGGAAAAAACAGTGCACTTTAATGCATGGATTCGCTGACCCACTGACCAAACTCCGGAGGCACTGACAACAACACTGAAAACCCCGCCAGAGCTCCGAAGCGGCAGCAGCTGGTGGGCGGGGCTTTTGCTCCTCACGCGTGGCACGCGGCTCCGCTAAGGGAGGCCACGTGAGGTTTTTTTTTTTTTTTTTTTTTTTTTTTTTTAACTGAATAGGAATAAGCAAAACTCCAGTCATCAGGCAGAGAGTCGTGACACCGCCGAGGGCCTAATCATGATTACAGGGCAGCATGTTAGTCACCAAGAGATCATTTACGTTCGAAGGTTTATACTGACAGTAGAACCCCTTGGTTTGATGCATGCACTACAAGTTTAAATTCATGATTATTTTCTTTAATCCAATTTAAGTATGTGCATTCCTTTGCACAGGGGCGTTTCTGTCATTAATTTCGTTTCATTAAAGGGACACTTGGACAGCCTGAACATTGACATTTATTTAAAATTGGTTTCTATTGTAAAAATTGCGTCACCACTAAAATTCACACACGAAAGGAATCTGAAGTGATTTGAGGGCTTTTTTTGTGATGACTTTTCACTCTGATTGATTTATGGTGCCTGACTTGTTTTTTTTTCATCTCAACCTGTCTACTTCATAGCAGGGAGGCATTGTGATATTGCTTGGTTTGTCATGTTCTGTTGTCAGCAACGGTGACTACCTTTGCTACTCTTGTCCACTTCAACCTGTGAAAATGTAAAAGCGTTCTGCACAATATTTTGGATTAATGGACATCAAATGTGTGCTCACATGAACACAAACCACGACTACCTTAATAAAATCAAAAATACCATTCAAATTACTTCTCCACTTACAGACGTTGAAGCGGACAAGAGCAGGAATGCGCACATGAACCCCAGTGGCGACTGCTTGTAGTTTTCGGATATTTTGCTATGCTAAAGGTTTTTTAAGTCTCAGGAGGCCCTGGATGAATGATTTCCCCCCTCGGCTAACAGTAGCCGCTGCGGTGATGTTAAAAGTTACAGCAATGCTCAAGGCAGCAATTAGCTTTGGGCTGCTAAACAGATGAGGTTCCCAGAACAAAATCAGCTTCTTACCATCCAGACACGGAGCTCCGCGCAGTGGACGCCTGCTGCCGTGCATGCAGTCGAATACCTTGAGGGTGTACCCCACCTGATGCTCGAAGAAAGATCTGATGGGCTCCAGCATGCCCACGACCCTCCTGATGATAAGCTGTTCATATAATGGACGGATGCAAACCGAATGACCTACGAACAACTAAGCTTACGAAAAACCTCTCGGAACACATTGTGTTTTGCGTCTCTTATTGACTTATTGAGAAAATCAGACAAGACATGAGACTGCATGTAAGCTTCTCATTTCCTCATTCTCTTTTAAGTCACTCATGGAAAGGATCATCGTTCAGTGACATTTTCAGACGTACAGAAGTAGAGCTGTCCTCACACATTTTGGGTTCAATGCATCCCCGTAATTTTGACATTATTACCAATGGATTTACAATTATTCCTGTGACTCCCACCAAGACATGGAGGGAGGGTGGTGGTGGGGGGGGTGGCTATATTGCTCATTTCCAGGGGGTGGTTATAAGTTGTTCGTGATTTACTGATTTCTCCCAATTCACAACATTGAAAATGCAAGCTAATATATTCCCGATGAAAAAAAAAAAATTAGGCTTGTCAGTGAAAAATTGACCACTCAAGTGTTCCCTTAAGTTTATGAATATGCTCCTCGAGCTGCACTGCATCACACTGAGAAATGTTCTGAATATTTTGGTTTCCTCATTGAACTACAGGAGTGAGTCAAAACTATTGCATACAGCTTTATAGGTTTGATTGGGTGTAGTGCAGCACTTCAAGCAATGCCCACTGTATGAATCACTGTAGCAATACCTCACAAATGAGCTCTTTATATCTTGCAAAGGCAACATTGTTGATGTTGTCATGGTGATGATGATGGCTGACCGCAAAGATGCTACCTCACTTTGTCAAGGAGGTAAATGGATGGTCATAGAGAGGGAAAAGAGGACATACTGTCGGTACGGTGTGTACCATTTAAAAAAAAAAAAGTGTTTATCTTTGAAGTTGCAACTCAGCATGCGGTCCAACCATTTCTCACCAAACTAAACTTTGCATTTGAATGTTATCAAAGCCTTTGTTGAGGGCATTACAGAGGGCATTTCATACTTATGGTAACTCGTAACTCAATGTGTTTTACAGTTACAAAAAAAAAAAACATTTCAAAACAAAATACAACATTTAGGCAAAAGAATTGAAAACATTTTTAAAACGAATCATTTAAGACATTCAAAAGCAAAGTAGAGAAATAAAAAGTATTTGAGTGAAATCACGAAAGGAATGGACAGCTCAGGAACATGACTTTGGAAAAACTTAATGTAGAAATGCCCGAAAAGACCTTTATCATATGTATGGGGAAAAAGCATAGTTTTATTTATTTTAACCTGGGTTTAAAAGAATTTACACTTGGGGCTAACTTCAGTTTTGTTGGCCGCTCATTCCATTTGGGTGAAGCGTAACAGCAAAATGCTGATGCACCATGCTTGCATTGAACAATCATGCAAATCATCTTTGCTGCCTGGTAGTGTATTGGGGCAGATACCATTAGCTGTCCACCCAAAATGAACTCGTAGTGAGTGGGTTGCATGTGTGTGTCTGTTCTCTGCCTTTTCTTTCGAAAGCCTTGTGTAAGATGCAGCAAACCTCGTTTTCATCAAGCTTCACCGTAAAATTGCATCACAAAGATAACGCTTGCACAGTCTGTTTGACTGCATGACGTTTGTACTTTAACACGACATGCTCCATCCGATGTCAACTGTCACTCAAATGTGTAAACATGAATCCACATTCATCAGCATAACCATGTGTCTTTTTTTCTTTTTTTTTGAACGTGCAGTACTGCCTCACCTTCAGATAGGATACTGAATGAAGTTCAAGGTGTAGCGTTCATCTGTACAAGAACGTGACTGTTCTACATTATTAATGATTCGCTATCAATTAGGAAAGAGGAGCAGGTGTCATGCACTATGGCTGACCCTGAGAAAGCGCTGGCCAATGCCACTTAAGGTTGGGCAGTGCTACGCTTCATGTAAACTTTTAGGGTGGCTTGACATTGGAAACCAACTTGCACCTTTGTGCCAACGTTTGCTTGCTTGTTTGTTGATAACGCAACTGTGGATGCAAGTGCCACTGGCAGCCCAAGAGAAGATAACAGTGACAGGGAGCCCTGCAACTGCACGTGACATTGTTTTCCTGGAGCTCAAAAGGAAGTGAAGAGCATCATCATCGCAGAGAATACGGCTATGTGGAGCATGCAATCTCCTTGGAATGGGCATTTTTGGACACATTTGCAACTCTTTAAGTCGTCACTCAGCACTCTTGGGTGCACGATGGTTGTATTGACTGTAGGGCATGTGAAGTGATGGCACCAATAAAGGTCGGTTCATTCAAATGACAATCAAAATGATCACGTTTTGAAAAATTCTCTTACCACCACCAGGGCTGTTGTCCATTTCTCTTGAAGACGTTGAGCGTGAAGTTTAAAGTCAGATAAAATCAGGAGTCTAGTGAAGAGAGCTGAAAAATGTCCCGAAACACCTGCTCAGTGGAGCAAAAACTGGAAGCGATGGAAGGGGGTCCAGTGGGCTCGAGTGTTTTCCGGCCGGTTATTGCGTGCAGCCTTCGCCGTGTGTCTGACGTGAGTCGTCAACATGCACTCGGAGCAGCTTCTGTTTGCAGCTGACTTGGATGCTTCCTGCACGAGGGACGATCAAACCCTTCTTGTGCCTTCCAAGAAAGTGGAGTCAACCCATCCGCGTGTCATGCGTGACACACACACCCACTGATACAAACACCCACTTTCGTCACGTTTGCAGGTGAGGAGGAAATGTGAGCGTCACTAACGTCTGTGTGTGTGTGTGTGTGTGTGTGTGTGTGTGTGTGTGTGTGTGTGTGTGTGTGTGTGTGTGTGTGTGTGCGCGTGTGCTTTTGCGCACGGTGTGTGTGTGTGTGTGTGTGTGTGTGCGCGCGTGTGCTTTTGCGCACGCGAGCTCTCTCACTGTGTGTCTCTCCTGGTCCCCCACCCTTCTCTCTCTCTCTCTCTCTCTCTCTCTCTCTCTCTCTCTCACACACACACACACACACACACACACACACACACACACACACACAAATAACCCCCCGTCCTCTCCCCTGCACGTTTCGGTGCGCTTTCATTGGTGGGGATGTGACACGGAGGGCAGTTCGACTCGCTTGTTGGACCGCGCTGTGTAAAGCCAGGCAACATGTGCGCTCGGCATGTGCCGGCTCGAGCGCTGTCCCACTGATACACATTTTATGCAAAACCGCGGAGCGTGCGAGTGGTGCACAGCACAGGGAATTGGAGCCGAGAGGATGAAGCACATGGACAAAAGGCGTGGCTCATCGTGACTGCTTCTCTTTGCTCCCCCTCAGTCCCCTGACCAGCTCGGCTGCATGTTGCTTCTAAAGACGAAGTCGTTCCAAACTGTTGCCACAGTGGCACGCAATATATACATGTAGGTCTACTTTTGCCTTTCAGCACTACTGCAAGGGATGTGAATTTACAGTCAATAAATATATGGCTGAGTCTGTTAATTTTCAGCTTTAATTTATAAGCTTTCACGTAAATATTTGTATTTACATCCAGTTAATGCAGAGTGTTTTCAGTCTGTAAGAAGTATTTGAACAAATTGTCACACGGGTAAATACAATTAAATGAAGTGGTTGACACTCAATCGCAGGGGACACACAGACAAGCAACCATTGGCGTTCGCAATCACACCTACAAACAATTTAAAGCAATCAATTAACCTAGCATGCCTATTTTTTAGGCATCTGGCGACCGGAGAATACCAAGAGATGAAAATGTCCAATGTGATTCAAATCGTCAATGGAGTGCACTATCGATCAGTGTATTTCCATCATCCGGTGGCTGCCCAAACACACACACATACACTCGCATACGTTTCATTTTATTTTGTTATGGACGTGTTTATTTAGATCGTAGTTTTAGTTATTTCTTGACAGTTGAAAACGCTCCATTAGTGCAAGTTATAACTATAGGTTTAATGTCAGAAAATCAATCATGTGGGCATGGCAGAGATGTGCATGTGAAATTTGGTGGCGATTGGTCGTAGCTTTCTAACATTAAGCTTTTTTTTTACACTCAGCATTTTAGTCTGTCCCTTTATTTCGTTAATTTTCGTTATAACTGGTGGAACTGAAGCCACACTGCCTGCACTGAAGTCCGACAGATGTACTGCCACGCTATAAGTGACATAATTGTGATGTTCTTAAGTAAATTGGGAACATGATTGGTACCAAGTAGTTCATATTGCAGTGCAAAACATAAAAAGTTCTCATTTTCAACTCAAGTCAGTGGTCGTCAATCCTTTTCAGACACAGAGAGAGATACTTGGCGTATCCTGGTGTCGATTGTTTACATACAATATGAAAAGGTCTTTTAAATGTCAAAATATGAACAGCATGACGACAAGAACTGTCTAAATACAAATTCTAACTGAAACAGAAAATGTATTGGTCGATACGTGTGAATCAAACACGTGAATTTCAGCTCCTCGTTGAGAACAGCAAGTTGTGCAAAATGTACTGAAACATTGAGCAGAAACGTGTTTTCCAAAGTTTATTCAAAGCCAAATGAAGGTGATGCGTAAAGTTTATAATACATTTTACGTGCTTCCTGAAATTTCACCCGAAGCCCGATCAGACCAAAAGCAATGTACTTTTTAAAGTCCGATTTCTGCAGCAGCCCAACTTCTTGCCGCTAGGGGGAGTCACCGTGCTAGGAATGTGCACACTCGATGGCTCCCATCGACGCCCCTCATCTGTTCTGGACCCGTTGACGGATTGGCGATGGCAGCCACCGAGAAAAATCGGACGAATTACTCCATAGTTGATCTGTGAGGCGTTAAGAGCAAACGCTGACCGTTTTTCTTGACACGTCGGCGGAAGAAGACTCCTGACAAGCGCGTCTGTGACTTTGCTGTCTCCGTCACACTCAAGTCTGCTGCTGCTGTCTGTCGGCCTGCCAGTCAGTCACTCGCTCGAATCTCAAAACTTGTAGGGAATGTTGAAACCGACACACGGCACACAGCAGCGGGCGCAAGAAAAGGTAGGCTTTTTGCTCTACATAAATTATTGCCTCGTTGATAAGGCATACCACGGGGTGGGGTGGTGGTTTAGTGACGCCGCTGCAAGATCGGCTTGTGTTTACCGTTTTATCGATCAATGTGTCAGATAGGCGCGCACCCATCAACAAAAGTGAACACGTTCCGGCATGGCACAACGTAATTGCAAGCTGTAGCGAGTGTTTCTAGGGCTCGGAGTGGAGCACAAGAAGCTACCTGCCAAGCGCTGCTTCGCCTGAGGCTCCAAAGGCAACTTTCATCACCGTCGCCTTGTCTGCCAGCCTGCCTGCCACCCATCCCTCACGCAACTTGTTGAATGTGGCCTTTATGTGACTAAGTAATGACAGCTCGCTGCGCGGCCGGTGAGAGATTTAAAATGATCCCACGCAGAACCTTCCCAGTATTGTTTTGGATTAGTTGGCAGTGCGGCTGATTAAGATGAGAAAAGAAGAAAGTGCAGAGCCATATTGAGCAATGAAAGCAGAAAAGTAAGCCCATGCATAATCAACCGCTCTTTCTTCTTGTGGCTAAAAGCAGTCTCAAGTTCCAAAATACTACATGTTTATATATGATCCACACGCGCCAGAACTAAATGCATTTTTTTTGCTGCAGTGTCTTGTGCCCAGCTTTCTCACAAGGGCAGTTTTATGTGCAGGCAAAGAGGCATGGAAAAGAAGACCTTTCCCTTTGAGCTCACAGATTTGCAGTAATTACAGAATCACTTCCATATGTGGCGCTCTGGCTGCCTTCTCACTGCCCCCGCCACCCCTCTTTCTCCCTCTCTCCCCTTCTCTTCCTTCTTACGTTTGCATTTTCCCTTTATTCCTTACTTTTGCTACTTTTATTTCATTTGGCTCCTCTGCATGTGCTGTGAGCATTTTTTTTGGGGGGGGGGGTCAAACCACAGTTTAAACAGAGTTTATGGTAATCAGAACGTCCTGGCATTTTTTGGCAAACGACCACTGTTTTGGGGTGATTAAATTAACCACGTTGGCAAAAATATGCGTGCACCCTTGTTGAAAGAGCGAGGCGAGTTAACTAGCTAGCAAGGCAAGACACGGACACTCGTGCAGAGGGGAAACGCTGAAAATAGGGAAATATGACAAAGGAGGAAAAGGCAAAGAATGGGAGCTCGGAGAAGAATTTGCGAGGCAGGAGCAGAGCGTGAACGAGGAAAACGGGGCGGAGGGGAAGGGGGGGCTGGAGTAATGCTTTTTGACAGAGGTGGGTTCAAGATGGGTTCACGGTGACATCATGGCTGATTTTGGAACAAAGTATAGACAGGAGAGACGTTCACCTTTCATTGGACACACATGTTGGGGAACAGGCGAGAGTGCTCATTTGCTGGCACGCACACTGGTAGCTGTGTCCGCAACCTCTGAATGCACCCCAAAATTATGCGTGCGTGCACACGCGCAAACCCTGTCCTGCTGCACCCCCTGCAGTTCCACTGTACTAAAAGAGGCACTTTCTGCCATGCCTTGTGCTGGTTTGTTTTTGGTCCAACAATACATTGTGGTAGAAACCTGTCCTGGCCCTGGGCGCCTGCCTACTTTGCTGCTTAGCTATGAGGCGAGCCTTGGACAGGAGAAGAAGAAGAAGAAGAATACATTGTGGTAGAAACCTGTCCTGGCCCTGGGCGCCTGCCTACTTTGCTGCTTAGCTATGAGTAACTCATTTTCCGGTGTGTACTTCAAGGTAGCTGCACTGTAAATGAGCAGAGTTTGCCAGGCGGCATGAATGAGCTCCTTCATTTCTGCGGATGTGTGTTTCATTCTGCAAGCAAGCAAGTGTTGGTAAGTGTTCAGAGGTGAGCCGGGTGCGCTGGCTCTCCTTGGCCTCCCCAGCCTTTCTCACGGCACGTCCAAAGTTGACACGACATCAATCTGAACACGGGGAAACAATGATGTCAATGCAGGCATCGTGTTACTGGTGTAAAGCTGCCGCCACAGGCGCCCGTTCCATGCTCGCCACCTCCGTCAATCCCGCCTTTGCTTTGGTTCCCTGTGCCATCTCGCACGGCTTTCTCTCGTCTTTTTCGACCCTTTTCTCCGTAAAACCACCGGACCTGACTTCCTCTCTTTCTTGCCTCCTCTGTCATCACTCTTTGCTCTTTCCTCTTCTGCCTTTGCTCCTTTCCCTCTGCCAGCAAACCCCAAGGCCTCGGCTGCGTTGCTCCGTGAATGCAAATATGTTGAATCTTAAGTGGAAACACACGACCGGCTCCTATGAATATTTCATACCTTCATAAACACATCCAGAGGAGCTGCAGAGCTTGGCGCCTAAGAACGCCCGCGTTTGCCGGATGACTTCCTGGGAGGAATCGAGCTCCCCTCAGTCAACTATGAGCTGTGCGAGTGTGTTCGTGTTCGGTTTGATGTCAGGGCGGCACGTTGTGATGTCACTGGTTGAAGTTAATGACACACGAATGGCGAGGGCAAAAGGCCATGTTTCCAGTGGTGCCCAGAGAGAGAGATAGCAGCCTGATCTGTCTTCATTATCCGCCATTCTGCAGCCTCCCAGACACAATGATCATAAATCTCTGCCTGAAGCACACTTCACTGACACTGAAACACAAACACTAGTAACCTCTGACCCTCTCTCCGCTACTGCCTGCGCACACTCATCCATGCTGCAGACACCAAGGCGCATTCAAGTGCCTGCTGTACACACACGCACGCACACATCTGCCTCCCTCTGTCACAACTGAAGAAGGGCCAGGGCACAGCCCGCACACTGACACCATCCTCGTGTACTTGATTGCACGTTCAGTCA